TCAGTGTCGCTTGTTGCAGTCTGCTTTCTTGGCAAGCGACCGTCCCTGCCAGAGTTAGCAGCATACAACCACGCTAAGTGAGATAGTACCTTTGTCCATAGCCACATCACTCTCGCGTGAACGGCCGTGTTCCTGTTCTGGCGTAGTTATTCCGGTGAGTCCACACCAAAGGGAAGCACTGGACTCGAGTTTCGTTCTTATTAGAGCTCATCAGCAGTACATATCCAATGGCCGTGCCGGGACTTGAACCCCGGACATTTGACATGCAAGGTGAGCGTGTAACCACTACTCCACCAACGAACGTTGAGTGCATCTGAATTATAACGTCTGAACAGGCGAAAGTGTTCACACTTGAGCGATGTGATTGGTGTGCTCGACTCGATCGATTGATATCGATTGATGTGGACGTGGCTCGGAAATGAATCGGTCATGCTGTCACGTGAGAACGCTGTTGCTCGCAACCGATGCCCCAACTACCATACCAGGGTCACGGTAGCTGAAAAATCTTGTTCTTCTTAATAAATGCCACACAATTAGGCTTCTACTGGGTTACGACTCATACTGTGGAAAGCAAACAAATTGGTTTGCGATCGAAGTCGGTAGCATAGTTCTCTAATCTCTGGACTGCGTTTGAAAGTTCCTTCAGTCTAATTACTTATTTGTCACAAGTATGGAAACAGAATTACTCAGTGATATTACGATACCACTAAAGGCAAAAAATGCAGCCTTTTCCATTGCACGGCTGAGATAATGTGATTGGGACACGTATGCATTCGAAGCCGATTTTGGAGCTTATCAAAACATGTCTAGACTAAACTTCTTCTAGCTCAAGCACCTTCGAAGGATTTTCTGATTTTGAGCTTCCATGCTCTTGGCGATACCTCCCTCTAACGATGAGGGTATCAAATACCTTAGTTTGTTCTGTGACCTAGACATCTCCAATGCACACTGTATTGCCGGAACAATGAACTTGGAAGTATCTTGCAACGTTTCTCATATGCAGATAAGGATGCTTCAAAACGGATATCGTAGGTCTTGCAATAGTCCAGGAAGCCTGCATGAAAACAGTTCATAGTAAGCTGACGACTACGCAATCTGGACATATTCTATATGTGGACGATCTATAATCCCAAACCAACTAGTGAGAGTGAATGCGTAGCATTCCTTTGAATCGGCCTAGTCTCAAGGACAAATAGTCATGTGTTTTGAGTGAACTCTGGGACACTACAGTGGCCTCTAGACCAACAATAACAATCGTTTTGTTTTGGTCGTTGCCGTGGGTGACACGTGATTATAACACATATTGTTCGGCTGAAATCAACCAATCTCTTCATTTGATGGGCCATTTGGGAGATCCGGCTTTTCGGCTGCTGAAAGGTCCGTTGTAGATATATGCTATGTGGTGATCTAAATTTTCAACATTTCAAGCAAAACGCGCCCAACAGCACATTGATAAGGCCCGTCAAAACTGTGAGGAAAAGTTTTCAAACTGGTAGATGAATAAGAAAATCGATACATCCACTCAATGTACCGAAGCTTCACCAATCACTAATTACGATCGAAAACTTCGAAATACTGGGTAGCTTCTTACAGTCGTTTCGTCTTCCTTGACTAGCAATGTTAGCCCACGTATCAGAGCCTGGTGCCGACATATTTGGGCATCCAAAATTTGCAATTACAACATTCTTAGCAAGCACGTATACACATCCGAATGTCATGCACTGCGTTTTGTTTGGTTTATTTATGGTTGCTTCCTCTTTTTTCTTGGTCTGATGTCATCAAGGTTATCAAAAATACAAGTATCCATCTTATGTCACGTGACCGAAACAAAACATTTACATAGAGTGCTTCCCAGCGACTGTGAACGAGATTCTGGGTAAATATCCTCACACAATTTGACGACAATCGAAGCTTCATGGGATCAGAATCGAACGATACAGTTCCGGTTTCCAGTATACACAAAATGAGCGATTTGTCAGCTTGAACTTCACTAGTTTAGGATGAGTACCCACTGGCTGTTTTTCTCCAAAAAACTTTGATAGACTGTAGGAATTCGTTTGGCAGTGCGTTCCTCCTATCCAAAAATCCCCAAATCAAGCTAGCAAGTGGCAGTGCTTGACACGTTTCCATACCACAAATATATAAGCTGAAGATACTGAGAAAGTGGGAATTTGTCAGCCGACATAGTCTGGATTCGAGGTTACCAAGCTAAGCCGAATAAAACGCCAAATCACAGCAAAGGAGTTAACGTCGCTACCTTTTGCCCCAACCAGAGCACTATACACGAGAATCCTCTTGCGGAATCCTCTGTATACTGAAATTTGATGGTGGACTTGAGCCCTATTCCTCGAAGTTTATAAAAAATCAATGGTTCACTAGGCATTGGTTGATTCAAATCAACATAGCTGTCTTATGGACAAATCAAATCTGGACTGGGGTTTCAGATTAAGCCCCCTTCTTCTTGGTAATCAATCTTTGCTTATCAAAATGAATTATCTCCTTTTAAGAACCCGAAAGGACCCAATCATGAAATCAGATGGTCGTCAACAGAGGACTTGATTGAATCCCAGCTAAATCTCTTGCCTTGAATAATCTTTAACCGACAATGCTGCACCCACACTGCCTTACGTTTCAACAGGAGCGTTATTCATGATATGGAAATATCGGCGATTTGATTGAACATGTCTCGTCACCGATCGTGGTCATCATCAGTGAGCGGTTGGGTAGGAACCCCCTTCTTATCTGTTTACGCTGGGATAGTTTCAAAAAAAGTAGTTGATATTTCATGATGTAACTAGTTGACTGAGAACCAGCTTTATCGTAATTTCTTTGGTCGTTCTTCTAAGTTTTCTGTCTCTCCCACATTCGACCGTCTCGCTGGGTAACTTCTGAACTTCTGAATGATCCGTTCACACTATGTAATACTCTGTGGTCATTCTTCCTTCAATTTGATTGGTTACTCCAGTAGCATTTAGTTTCGACAGTTTAATTTTTGTTGTCACTGTCTCGCCTACAGTTTGCTTTGCCTTTTGGTTTGATTTTTTAAGGCTTGGTTGGCTGACATCGTTTCTTCCTTCCCTTTTAATGTGGCTTTGGTTGGGGGCGTACTCCTGTCGGCTTGGATTATCTACTAAATTCGAAACGCTTCTGCATTATCTACAAGTTTTATTCCTGGTTTAATTTTCGTTCTTGAGCTCTGTAGGACTACAGTCATCTTGTTCTTGCTAGATGTGAGGCCGGCTTTGTTCCAACAAACGTTTTTCGATGGCGTCTCATGTGGAATAACATCCCTTTTCTTGCCTTTTCAATCAAACTTGCGTCCCAAACGACATTCGTGCAAGAAAACAGGCAAAAATGGATCTTATTTATTGATTACGAGCTTGTGTTCATGAAGTCTGTTGTGAAGCTGTTCCACGTTATGTGGCCCCGGTGCTTAAATCCTTTACACTACTGACTCTATTCGCCCGAAGCCATCAGAAACTCATGCTGCATAGGCACTTGGAGAACCGGCATGTTTGACTAAGACACTAAAAACCAAAGCATACCAAGTATACTTACGACCAATCTTGATCGTCTGGGCTCAGCATTCAAACCTCAGACACAAACTAATACGCAGATGTCGAAAACTTTGAACCGTATTTCTGAAGCACAATTTGTAGTTACAATAAATACAGATTTCTCATGTGTGCTTTCATATCGTTCGCCTTGGTAAACAGTATGCTAAGCGGGAAAGAATGACACTTGCACTGGTATACGTCACAGACCACTCGCGACATGACATATCATTTCTTCCAGCCGAAATCCCACGACGTCATTCCCGAGGACCTTGTTCACACCAAGTAGCGACGCTATTATCACAGCGGCTACATGTGGGTATGTCACGAGAAAGGTGATCAGAGAGCAGCGCACAGATTATGACGTAGTATCCGACTGCATTGATTTAAACTAACGTAATGAAGCTCGTATGATGTATCTCATTTCCACTTTGGCATATGTTTCGAGTCCGGCAGTTGTACGGACATCTAACTGTCTACCGGATAATTGTGGACACATGGCCGAAATCCTGCTATCCTTGAATTTCTCTGATTCTCCTCAGTTCTGTTTTCGATTATTTCGAGAATCACCCTATAATACAGTTTGAAAATTTTTGTGCTTTGACTATTTCAAAGCGAGACTGTCCGATAATTTTCAAAGTGAGCCAGCTAGACCACGGCTTTTACAAACCTGATGCAACTTACGTGATACATGCAAGTTTTGTGCTCAACTTTTTCCCCGTGGTTACAGCAGTAAGTCGTTTTAGCATCACTCGTTCTAGGTGAACTCTAGAAAACACAGAATGCACTAGATAAGGATGAAATTTCGCGAACATGCTCCAGACTTTTCAAGAGTAGTATCGTAGTACAAATCGTAGTTCGTAAATCAAGTCGCTGCAAGTTAATTGCAATGCTCGGCGAGCGGATCAACAAAGAATGAGTGCACCCGACCTACCACACTTCCAAGAACGCGAACAGCATAGACGTTGTAAAAATGTGTCAATATGGATCCATGTTCCCTACACACATGTAGCCGCATCTACTGAGGAGCCTGTGTCAGCCCCATAACTACGGTTGACTCGCTTCTGAATAGTTTTCAGAGAAGTATTCTGAATGAATACCTCTTAGCTATTCAAATCTCGATGAATGGCCCACACACACACCTCACAAACATGGAAGAGCTGTGGTTGGACCCCAAATCGAGGGCATCGACAAGTGTGTCGGGCTGAAACGCTCCGAAAACTCAATGCACTCTTAAGTTTGTTCCAAATCACTAACTGACATTCCGGTCTTTTACGGGGGATCGTTGGCGTTTTGAAGCTCCATTTGGACTATTTCACTAGTTACCAGGTAAAATAAACTTCCATAAAATAAATTATAAAATTTTGTTGGATCCGCGGGTTTCGTTTCACCAACAAACGGAGTTTACTGGCTTGTGCATGAAGGCAGGCAAACTAAACAACTCACTGGTTTGAAAAAATCGATATACAGCTTGAAATCCGCGGTGAGCAATGCTAGCGTCACTACGAAATCGAAGCCACATGAAAGGCCCTGTGGTTTGCAATCCCTTGCCCACATCTGGAAGACGACGACTGCAATATCGACCTAGCAAAGGTGAATAGCCAAAAGCTCCATCACGAATCTCCAAGAAGTCCATCAAACAATGGGGCTCAGGTTCCAATTCAAACAAGCCGCGAAAATTCAGAAGAATTCTTTGTTCCTTTGTGGGTGCTGCAAATGAAGAGTAAGGGAACAAGTGGTGGAGATATTCAAAATTAGATCCGTAACGAGGATAGATTTTGGGTTTATCGATTTTTAGCGTGGGAGGAGGAGTGGACTTACGTAACCGAATTCTGACCAGCTGACATGGTGCAAAGACACATGACTCAGCTGAGCATCCCGTGACAATTCAGTTGGTAAGCAAGTGAATGTATTTCGCTTACATAAGACTCTCTTTTGTTGGTGAAGCTAGCTACCGGGAAACAGACACACCACTGACTACCCCGGGACACTTCCTGGAGTATTAAGCTTCCTAGGTGGATCATTACTGTTGGTCTGGCAGTTGGATAGCAAGCGCTTCATCACCAGTCGAGGTGACGGCGCCATTGCGGGTTTAGGTTGGTTGAACTTCACCATCCCAAGAGCCTATAACTGGGTTCCCATGGAGTACGAAATGCTAAGACGGTCATTGATTTTGCTCAGTCCCTCACAGAATGTGATAAAATTTTATTTGCTACTTGCGGAGCTGTTACAGCCTTATTTTCTGAGACGGAGAGGAGCGTCACCAAAGCAAGTCTTACCTGAAAAAACTTTTACGGAATGTGCCCACAGCTCCTGCCTCATAGCTTCACAACGGTTGACGAAAACCTGTCTCGGTTACAGGAAGATCTCGCCATGATTGACACATGTATTCCAAAGGATGGACTTTGGTGGCCATTGTTGCAGGGTTCCACCGAAAAGATGTTGAAGATTCAGAGCCTCCAAAGTATTGGTTTCATGGCCTGTTTTTCACCAGAGGGAAATAAACTAGCCTTGTTTGTCCTAACAGAGGGGTCGGCCTAGAGTCTCGCGTTTAATATAGCCAAACGACGCTTACCTAACACACCTACCTAATTTTTGTATTTTCGAAGTCGCCTGTGCTTATTTTGTGGTGTCGGTAGCAAGCACAGCTTAGGGCGAGATGATTCAAGTGGTTAGAGCGTGAATTTACTGACCGGAAGGTCCGTGGTTTGAACCCGACCTCTGCCACTCGACTTCCCCTGTCTAGGCCTGGGCAACCTGGCAGTATCCCAGCCCTCGTGCTTCCTCCGGCTGGCATGGCAACTAGGCACCGAAACGGTGTTACAGCTGAACGATTATTATTATTATTATTATTATTATTACAGCTATCTAAATAACCCGGGTCATGTTTTCTTCATCACTGGTCTTCAATTCCATTCATATATGGTCCCACAATACCAAAATGTTTTGGTTCACCTGAAACTGAGCTGCAACTGAAATGCCTACTGTACCTGCAGTCAGCTGGGGACTATTTGCATCCTCGTGCATATCAAATAATAATAATTTTGACACCTAAATACAGCTTAAGAGGTACCCATATTCCAGCTGCTGCTATGTTATTATTTACGGTAACTGAGGGTACCCGCATCGAGAAGCCAAATAAACACGTCTTCTCCTGTCTATTTCCTCGACCTGGATTTAGAGAGATTAAAGGAGACTTTATCAAGCACTGTCCTCGACGGAGCGAATTTTGTGGCCTTGAATAGGCTATTCCTTCTAACACTACGATTTTGTGCATGCAGAACAGCCAGAAGCGCAGTTCAAAGTCTGGCTCATTTAAACATTTTCTACCTGTATCCATGATGTAACACATCAACGTGTTAACCACGATCGAAGACATTGCGACTGTGACGCTGGCTCGTCAATAGTACATGGTGTAATGCTGGTGAATCCAGTCTGATGTAAGGTTCGTGTGGCCACAGTATTAATTCTTTGTTGGGCCCAGAACTCCCCAAGTGAAAACCAAATGATGAAGCAGGCTCACTGACTTATAACCAATCATTCACGTATGGGTGATGATGAACAGCTGATGAATATGTCCCGACACCGTCAAGGGCACCTATCATTTAGACGACTTTGAGCTGACTGCCATCCATTCTTGGGTAAAGACAAGTATCAACCTGGCTGGAGATGGAACTAAATGAGCGGAAGATAAATACGGAAACTGAACGAGATAAAAAATATTTTTTTCTTAATTTCCATCAGAACCTCTCAGATATGCTCCAGAGTAAAACGGGTGTTAAGCACAGGATCTTCGATAGGGTGTCTGGAATAGAATAAATCAGTTCTACATGTATCGTTTAATTGGCTAACATACGTCTCCTCGTAGAAACAGACAATGATCCAGGGAAGGCTCACATGGATTGAGCGGCAGAGGTGCTTCTCATTTTGGCTCATAGATGGGAGTCAGGACGATCAGTGAAGTCTCCGAGCTCGACGGAACGTACGACAGGAAGGGATGCGTTGGGTAGCGTATAACATGGCGTCAGAAATGAGCGAATTAAAGATAGCATTGTGAGTGGTTCCATGTGCATTGTCCACCCGCTCTCACACGCAAGTGAATTGACTTTCGGAAAGCATAATAGAAAACGGTGGCCGATCTGAACTGATATCTGCACAGGTTTTTTCTGACCGGAAGTACTGAACAGGAACAGACCATAAAAGCCGTGGGAGCAGAAATCAGCATACTCAAAGACAAATCGCCACTTCACATTCCACCCGACAACAGAACTGGTTATTTAGTGTCGCGGAATGACAACTCACCGCACTTCACAAAACTATTCGGAAGTACACTGAATTTTAATGAACTAACTCAAATTCCACATCTCGCGTGATTGAAAATCGTTGAGGAGATATTCGGAGCTTCGAATTGGCCACCTGAATCAGATTATGAATCGAAGAACAAATCGAATCCCACTTCCAGAGGTTTCACACGACAGGAACCGTCCCGCTTACCGGATCGGCCCGAAAAACGGCACAGTAAAGACATTGTCATGAAAGATCACACATACATAAGAGGATTTTCCGTTAGAAGAAGCACACAAAATCGGCCCAGATCGTCCACTGGTTTTCCAAATAACCCAAATGGAACCGGGTCTGTCCTCGATACAACATTGTTTGGGGGGTTGATGAAAACTCTGCGACAAAATTATGCCTGTCCCTTGTTCGACGAACTGGAATGCCCTGCTCTCTGACCTTTTTTCTAACTTGCCACGTGACTTGCCAAAACGAATGGAGTGCAGATGTTCACATTGGCAATAAGCGTTATGTAAAAACGAAGTTTCGATAGGGTCACTTAATTCACTGTAATCCCCTGTTGATTTTATTCACACCGATATCCGACAGTCGGAGACTTAACTGGTTGACTGGTACAACCATGAGATCTAGGACACTATTCGTTCCGTCTGCTGGATTTTACTCGGTATCGATTACTGATCTCACGTAGTCTGTGTGCTTGGTTGAAGACCCTCAGAACGGAACAATAACCTGAAGATCTTCATCCATTACTGAGAACCGAATGAGAAGGAATCGGAAGCCTATGGCTTCATCGCGATCTTTCTGCTCTTCTCCGAACGAAACACACGGCCGACTGCTGGTGGGTTGATTTAAACTTGGTCAAATATGCGTCTTAGTTTGATTCTTTCTTTCCCACTTGGTGAGCCGCACAAAGGTGGCTACGCGTTTCAGTTGAGACGATATACAAGATACCGAAATGTTCTAGTAATAGCGATGACCTCATTGATAGCTGGGCAGACAACTTCCGGTTTCCTCTATTCAAGGGTCTTTCGGGTTTAGTAGTATAAAGAAGCTAAAATTTGGAGAAAGGCTCAGAAGATTAGTCCCAGAAAAGCCGGCCACCAATCTCATCAACCCCACGAATAGCATTGTAGGTACTGTTTCTGGAAGTTACTTTTTAGCAAAGTTTTTCGTGAAGGGTGCATTCTCAAGAATGAACTCCTCCTTGCTTGAGAAAATCCATATATTTAAGATTCACCTTGTCCCAAATTTTGAATGCTATCTGAAAAG